GCCTTCTTCAAAAATTATAGGAAATAATGAGAACTATAAAAATTGGGCATTGCCTGAAATTTTAAACAAGATTGTTTTAAATTTATCAATGGATGATGTTTTATCATTTTTATCCGTAAATAGATTGATCAGATCCGTCATAGAAATTCAATTTCAAACTTTCCCAAAGTTTTGGAGAGCTTATTTCCAAGATTAACCAGGAAAGAAATTTATTTCTTATATAACTATCAAACGTGCCAACATTGCAAAAATCAAATTCATGATCCAATAATAATTTTCGAATTGAGAATTAAAATCTGTAGACATTGTGTTATCAATGCTTTAATAAGGTAAATAAAATACATATTCTCTCAATTTTTTTTAGTAAGCTGTTATTAATTTAATTATATTTAGTCACAGGGATTTTGAAGAAACCTATTCGATTCAAAATTTTTTTTCATATAAAGAAAAATTAAGTCGAGCAATTCCTTCAGTAGATTTTTATCAACTCAAAGGATACTATCTAAGCTTCGATTTTCAGCACGATTCTGGCTTATCACATTTGCTATTTTTCCTTAAAGAAGGTGTCAAAAAGTTCGTTGAGGAATTTAATAACATTCCTAAAGATCTGATAGTTGATTAGTTAGAAAAGAAATCAAATATCGTTAAAGAATTTCAACAAAATGTTCTCAAAATTAAACATCCTTTGATTAATAATCAAAATATGGAATTTATGTTAAGTAATTCAACTTTTTATATTCCTTCAGAATATTGTCTTAGAGATAATATTGATTCCATTGTTTCGTATAATTTTTTTAATTAAATTTGATATTGTCTTCATAGTTAAATATTATTTAAATAAATTTGCCTACATTTAATTGAACTTTTGGACTTCTCAAACATTTTTAAATTATGAACATTATGCTTTTATCTTCTTATTTAACAGATCAGTCAATATCTCATTGGACTAAAAAAAGTACTTTAATTAATATTTTCTGGTGTGGAAAATCTGCTTGATGCTCTAAAAAAAGATCAAAATTTCGAGCGGTCATAGGGTCACGGCAATTGACTGAGATTATTTCTTATAGATTGTACAATATTAATGTTAATACAATGGTTTTTATGTTTATAAAACTTTAATAAAGTAAATTTTATGAAAAACATGTAATTTCTATATTGAAAAGCTTGTCAACGAAGTGACAGAGCAATCATTATTGCGAGATCAGAGGACTTAGATCACGTGGAAATATATTGTTTAACCTTTTATGGAATAGTTGTAATTAGTTAATAGTTCGCTAGTTCTAAGCAGGTTTTT